AATCTCATCAATGGTCTGACATCTCTTCCCTTTCAAAGGTGATTTTAATTTTGGGAAAAGCCAGAAGTTGCAGGGTGCCAAATATGGGGTATAGGGGGGCTGAGTTACCTGAATGATTTGATGTTTTGCCAAAAACTCTACATGGAATGTGATGCATGAGTGGGCACGTTGTTGAGATGAAGCTGCCAATCACTCATTGCATCGTCCCTGAAAACCTTCTGAATCATCCAAATAGTTTCTGTGGAAGAATGTTCAAGCTTAATGCAAAATTTGATGCATATTCATTGCTCTACTCACTCAGTCATTTTAAATGTGATGGCCACACAGAACACATGCTCACTCAATGGTGCCTCCCCCCCACCCCCACTGACTAATACGGTGAAGTTGTCATTGTTCACACATGTGCATTCCAGTCCACTCTTCTTGGCTGCCAGGTTACATCGATGTCGCACAAAACATTCTTGTTATATTAACAATGGCTGGACTTTTTCCAGCCAGACCTGGTGTGGTGTTTTTGTGTGTGTATACCTCCGATTACAGATGGCAATATTGACTGAAACAAAAAATTAAAATAAAAAAACTATTATTCAAAATTCACAGAACTAAATGTAAAAGAATTTAATTAAACTCTTCTGGTAGCAGGTGAGATCTCTGGGTCAGGATGGAGGCGTAGGTAAACACGGCTCTCCTCCTTGCACAACCACATCAAGATTACAACTAAACTGCAGAACAACCATCATTCAGAACTGTTAGAAATCAAGTTAAATGGAATTCTGACAATTACAGAACTAAGGAAACCACATCCATCCAGACTGATAGGAGATGCAGAGATGTGGAGATATGGAATGGGATGGTCCTACATCCACGTGAGGTGGATAAAAATTTGGGAGGGATATCTCAGGAGAAAGGGGTACCAGCCCCACATGAGGCTCTCTACCCCAGGGTTGCAGTACTAGGAAGATAAACCCCTAAAATTTCTGGCTGTAAAAACCAGTAGGGTTGGAGTTGGTAAAAGGAACTGAAGGATTCCCAGGAAGTGCCTCTTAAAGGGCCCACACACAGACTTACTCATACTCACTCCCTCTGAGCTCCAGCCCCAGAGTAGCAGCTTGAAAGTCACTTGTGGCATATAGGGAGGAACTGAAATGTCTGGCATCAGGCAAGAGCTAGAGGACATCATTCTCTGAGACGGAAAGGTGGGCAGAGGCCATTATTCCTTTTCTGAACCTTCCCCCCACAGAACCACAGAGCCAGCAGGTGGGGGCCATATCTAAGACTACATCAGCCTGGCTCACATGGTTGCTCCACCCTGGGGGATCCCTGAAGCTCTGCCCACCCAACTCACGGAAGCTGTTACCAGTGTGTTTTCCATATAAATGGCTGGTCTCTTCTGAGGCTTCACATCTTCCTAAATTCTCTCAAACAAGCAACAGCTAGCCTCAGTGAACCCCCAGCCTTGGTACCTCTGGCTAAGTGGCCCCTGGACCAGCACTAGCAGCAGCCAGCTCTAGATCACAGTTTGGCTTCACCTAAGAACCTCCAAGCCCTGCACAAGTAGCAGCCATCTGCAGACTGCTTTGTAGCTCATGCTGGGTGGCTCCATCCAGAACACAGGTGGTGAATGACACTGGGGGAAAGCCCAGAGCCTGAGCACCCAGTGGACAGCTGCACATCCTGTTAGAACACCACAACGCTGGTCCTGCACAGCTCATCCTCCACAGATGGTAGAGGTCGGTGGTCAGTGGTCACAGCCAGTCTTTGCAGCTGAATGGCCTGGGTAAATCTCTCCCATTAACCTGTCAACAGCAATCAAGGCTCAACTAATAGAGGAGGGTGTACTCAGACCACACAGAGGGTGCACCTCGAGTATTCAGCTTGTGTGATAGGGGAGGCTGGGCCACTGGACCCTACAGGACACCTACTACATTAGGCCATGCTACCAACAGAGAGTCATAGCAGCTCTAACCTAATACATAGAAACAAACACGGGGAGGCTGCCAAAATGAGGAGACAAAGATACATAGCCTAAATGGAAGAATAGATCAAAATTCCAGTAAAGGACTAAACAAAATGGAGATGAGTAATTTATCAACTATACAATTCAAAACACTGGATACAAAGGTACTCAAGGAACTTAGTGAGTACCTCAACAGCATAAAAAAGATGCTGGCAGAAATGAAGGATATCCTAATGGAAATATAGAACTATTTAGAGGGAATCAACAGTAGAATGGATGAAACCAAGAATCGAAGCAATGATATGGAACATAAGGAAACAAAAATAACCAATCAGAACAACAAGAAGAAAAAAGAATTCCCCCCCCCCCAAAAAAGAATAAGGATAGTGTAAGAAGCATCTGGGACAACTTTAAGTGTACAGTTGCATCATAGGGGTGCCAGAAAGAGAAAGGAAAGAGCTAAAAATCGGAAATCTATTGAAAATAATAATGAAAGAAAATTTTCCTAATTTGGTGAAGGAAATAGACATGCAAGTCAAGGAAGCACAGAGAGTCCCAAACCAGATGGATGCAAAGAAGCCCACTCCAAGACACATCATAATTAAAATGCTAAAGGTTAAAGATGGAGAATCTTAAAAGCAGCAAGAGAAAAGCAGTTAATTACCAATAGAGGAGTTACAACTGTCAGCTGACTTCTCAAAAGAAACTTTGCAGGCTAGAAGGGACTGGCATGAAATATTCAAAGTCATGAAAAGCAGGGAACTTCAGCCAAGATTGCTCTACCCAGCAAAGCTATCATTTAGAAACAAAGGGCAAATAAAGAGCTTCCCAGACAAGAAAAAACTGAAGGAGTTCATCGTAACCAAACCATTATTATATGAAATTTTAAAGGGACTTATTTAAGAAAGTGAAGATCAATACTATGAACAATAAAATGGCAATAAACACATACCTATCAACAATTGAATCTAAAAAACAAACTAAGCAAACAAGAAGAACAAAGACAGAATCATGGATATGGAGAGCATTTTGATGGTTGCCAGATGGAAGGGAGTTTGAGGAAATGGGTGAGGATGTGAGGGGATATAGAAGTACAAATTTGTAGTCACAGAATAGCCACAGTACAGGAAATGGAGTAGCCAAAGAACTTATACGCATGACCCATGAACTTGAACAATGGTGTGGGGATTGCCTGAGGGAGTGGGGGGTGCTGGATGTCAAGGGCAAAGGGGAAAAAATTGGGAGAACTGTAACAGCATAATCAATAAAATATAATTTGAAAGAGAAATAAATAAATAACTTTTCTAGCATCTGGTCTAGATCTAAGGACAACTCAGGAAGACAGCAAACTCCAGACAGTGGGAAACTGCAAGATAAATAACACTTTTCCTTAAATAAATCCTAAGGAAGAAAAATAAATTCACAGATGCTATTGGCTTGTGGAATTATAATTTCCACAGCAAACCTGTACTAAATAAATTGTGGGCAACAACAGAATCAGTCTCTGTGTATTACTTTTGTTGCCTCCCTAAAACAAAAATAAAACAAGCTTGCATCACTTCAGAGGTCTAACCTTACAAAGTCCTGCTCCTCATCACCTTTTCTTAGCACATACCATATATCACTGGAATTGCTTATTTAAATTATTGTCCTTAGACTGAAGTTACTGAGAGGAAGTTCTGTTGCATTTGCAGAGCTGAGTGACCGTACACTAAATATTGGATAAAGTAAAATTTGGGATCAAATGCTAGGCATAAATCATGAGGGTTCTTGTTACTCAGGAGATCACAGGAGTTTGTTCCGTATATAATCTGTAAGAACAGGATTCCTTCAGTGAAGGCATAAAAGTGAGTGAAGATGAGTGAACCACTAAACCTTGCCCCTCATTTCATACATTCATCACATCAATAGGTCTTCCTTTGTTTTTTTGATCAGTAACTTCCCCAGCTTTTTCCTCTCGTCCCTCGTGCAGAATTGTCCTCACCTGAACTCTCTGATGGGCTCGAATGTAGTCTTGAGATTTTAGTATTTTAAGGGGGCAATTTTACATGAAACTGTTGGGGAGGGGGATATTCCTCCTACTACCCTTGTTGAGTCTTATAACTGGACTAATAATAAATTAACACAGTCCACATTAACAGGAGAAAAAAACAATTTAAAATGTGGGCACAGGAGATCATAGATGATACTCAGAGATTGACGGACCAGCCATCTTTTTACACTTTTAGAGAAACAATAAGTTTGTGAAGAATCAACAGGACAGGTTTGGACGCTCGTTTGTGAGGAATCTAATCTAAGCAAAGTTTGGGTTTGGGTAGTAAATTAATAATAAGGTTTTTACCTTAAGCTCCTACCCCCGCGCCCCTCTTCTGGATTCCCTAACTCAAGGGTGTCTTTTCCCCTTGGAGCAGGAAGGGCACCTTGCACATGGGAGATTGAGTTCCTGATTTCAGGGGGACGCAGTGAGGTCAGCGTGTCCGGATAATACAAACAGATAATCTGGAAACATAAACTTGGTTTATTTGGAAATATCAAATAAGGCTGGATTTTTCATATTAATGAATCGTTCCAAAGTTTACTACTGCTCCGCTCGGGGGCCGGGTCGCTCAGGCACTGGGCGCTCTCCTCAGCCTTTGGCTGCCTCTCAGGAGACCGTGCGTGAAGCGCACGCTAGTCTACCCTGTTTCTCCCGCGTCCTGTCGTGCCGCCTTTCGATTCCAGTCCCTGGCCGAGTGGAGCCTGAGCAAGAGCCCTGAGGCAGAGGTGTGTAGGGTCCCGACCGCCCGGCCAGCAGGGGGCGCGGCTCGGCGGCAGGCGCTGGCGTGAGACCCGGCTGTCCCGTCAGCGTTTGAGCTCTGCGCCGGCGACACGCGACAGAAACCTATAGTCAGTAAACCACCGAGAGGCAGAGACCTCACAATTTTCTGGAGAGAAGGTGGGAGTGGCGAGGGGTGGGGGGTACCAGCGTGAGTTGGTTGGGGAAAAAAAAAAAAAAAGGACCGACCCGGAAGTGAAACGGAGGAAGCTTCCGTTCTTTGTTCTGTCCCTGGTGTGTGTGTCTGTGACAGTGTCCAACGGGGCCTGGTCCGTGTCCGGACCCCCCAATTCTTCCGTCCCTGCCCCTAGGGTGAGTCCGGCCGCCCTCGGGGCTCGCGGTGAGACGGAGTCTGTGATCGTCCGGGAAGGGGGTGGTGTCCGTGCCGCTGCGGTCCCTGGGGTCCCCAGGCCCTCCCGGAGCAGGGTGCCGAAGGCGCCGCTCACTCCCTCGCAGCCGGTCCCGGACTCCGTAGCTATAAGGACGCCCCTTCACCTACGTGGGAGGGGGAAAGGGGCTGCGGTTCTGGTTTTGCTAGTCAGCGCCCAGCTCGAGCACTTGAAAGTTCCACTATGGCTGTAGGAGGGTCCCTCTCTTTGAAACAGTTGGTGAGAGTCATCCTAATTTAGTAGTTCTCCGAGATGCTTTTTAGTTGAGGTTCACACAGTTATTCGTACCCACGGTGGGAAGGAGGTTTGTTTTTACTTACCTGGGTTTTTAGGGTCAGAGAAGGAGCTCTCTGAAGTGTGTGCAGTTAGAGCTAGGGAGGGAGTGCAAACTCAGGTTACGGGAATAATCCACTGGCGCCCAGTAAATCAGGTCTTTTAAGGGGAGTGGTTCAACTGTGTTTGGATCCCATTTACAAATGTATAAGACCCCCGATTTGATCCAGTTTTGAAGTGGGATTGAACACAGATCCGGTGTTTACCCTCCGAAGGACATGTTTAAACTGTACCAGAGGATTAGCAGGATGATGAACCTGAAATGTATGGACTATTAAAGAAACTATAGTTATTTATCCCCAAGAAGAGAAGTTTGTGGAGAGTGGGCATCATTTGGTTTTGGACAGCTGTGTGGAAGAAGATTCTGTCATTGAAGCTCCATAGGTTATTAGGTCTCTGTGAGGTGAAGGTCCAAGGGGATAGATTTTCAGTTTACCGAGTCCTGGGGCTACACTATATGCAGCAATGGAACAGACTTCTTGCTGAAGTATTGAGAATACCTAGCAAGTAAGCTGACATTGTTATGAACATGAGAAGGCATTTCTTAACATGAAATGGGAGTTTAACCTGGAGAACTTGCAGTCCCTTTCAGCTTTTTTCAAGGGTGCAACACAAATACCAGTTGTGGTCTTAATTGGTACTTATTAGCATACATCTCTTTTTCCCCCATTATCCATAAATATCTAGATTAGAAGTGAAGTTTATGTGAGTATTTTCCTTTTTTCTTTTTTCCCCTTAATTATACAGCATTGGCATCAACTAAAGTCAGAATTCCTGGGAACTTGAGCAGAGCCTCCCAATAATTGCTACTCTGGCCTTCTAGAGATAACTCCAAAGAAGGCAGGAAAGAATCCAGCAGGTAAAGCTTTCCATGACTAATTTTTCACCACCAGGTCATTTTTCTCAGTCCCCAGAAGCTGCTCAAGGAAGAGGGGTTGGCTTTAGAGCAGGGGAGGGCCCAGCCTGCACCTGAAGCTATAGGAGCACAATGGAAATTTTTCTTTCTATGAGGAACATTGTTTACTGATCCAGACAGTGGGTACTTGTTCTCAACAATATGCCTTTGAGTTACAGCTTTGGTTAACCCAGCTGTGAAGAGGGAGCATTGCTTTTTTTCTCTGAAAATCAGAGTCTCTGATTTTACTTCTAAGGAGAGTTTGGACTGAGAGCTGATTTGTTGGGGGTGTCTGTCTATAAACAGTCCTGGAAATTGTACAGACGTTGATAGGAACAAAGAGATGGCTGGCTCTGAGGCCTAGTTTAAAGCAGTGGTCCCCAACCTTTTTGGCACCAGGGACCCATTTCATGGAAGACAATTTTTCCATGGCCCAGGTGTCTGGGGATGGTTTCAGGAAGATTCAAGCGCATTACTTTCAAGCTCACCTCCTACTCTGTGACCTACTTCCAACAGACCTGGAGGTTGGGGACCCCTGGTTTAAAGGGACCCACGTGGGAGAGTGACAGTGACAAGAGGGTATGTTATCCACCTTAAGCTGGTGGGCCTGGCTCATACCTGAATCAGTGCTTTTCACTGTGTAATGGTGTTGGTAGTAAACATTTTATACCCCTTTGTTGCCCAAAGACTAGAGTTCTCTGAACTCTCAGTGGCTTGCAGACTAGGCCTCTCCCCTTTTTATGTCTTATGTGAATACAACAGTCTGTGATGATGAAGCAAATACCATTTGCATTCCTGGTTTTTTACTATTTTTAGTAGTGCCTTGCAATATAGTTGGCACTCAGCAGATGCTTGTTATATGGGGGGAAAAAAAACAGATAAAGAGAGGGAGGTAGACAAAATCCAGGGGCTTTTGTTCTTTGTTCTTGCCTAAGTGTAAGGATGCTCTGGTGGCTGCTGCATCTGTTCTAGATCTGTTGGTTCTTGCCACAATGTTCAGTGAAGTGGAAACTTCTATTTGAGATCCGAACCTTAGTCTAGGTGTTAATGTCACATTTATTCACTAGAACCACAGAAAACAGATTGTTAAGGCATCTGGGAAGCAAGGACATTAATAGGGGTAAAAACAAAGTAATTAGTAATCTTGTGCTTTTAAAAAAGTATTGGTCCCTGCTTCAGGGACGTACATTCTGACCTAAGACAATATATTAGGAGAGAAGGGAGATAAAAAGAAAACTGGCTGCTAACTTAGTGAGAGGATACATAGCAACCGGGACTAGTCTTTCAGATCTGGGTGAATATAAACACCTAGTCCCTGTAATGAGACTCAAAAGGACCACAAAAGGGCCCAAGGTCCTCAACAATACCCCACCATTGCCTGGGACTGGAAGAAGAAAACAATTTTAGAAAGAAAGGGGAGGAAAAATTTATCAATTTAATAGAGCTGTTTGCCCTAGTTCTGTGAGACAGATGTTGTTTCCCCACATTTTTAAACATGAGAGACAGAAAATTCATTAAGTTTCTCTGGTCTCCGTTATTTGGGTGCTAGTTCATGGCTATTTTTTCTCTGAGGATAACACCTAAATTTAATGTAACAGCTAGGAACCTAATGAAGTTTTTTCTAGTATACATTCTAATGTTCACGAGGGTTTTTTCTCCTCTATACATAAATAGCTTTCTCCATTATCCCAAATATTTTTTTAAAAGATTTTATTTATTTATTTTAGAGAGCAGAAGGGAGGGAGAAAGAGAGGAAGAGACAATCGACGTGTAAAACATCAGTTGGTTGCCTCTTTCATGTCCCCAAGTGGGGACCTGGCCCATAACCCAGGCATGTGCCCTGACTGGAAATTGAACTGGTGACCTTTTGATTCACAGGCCAGTGCTCAATCCACTGAGCGCTGAATATTTGAGCCACACTAGCCAGGGTCCAGATATTCTTAAAAGTTGGTATGCATATATACATATTTTGCAATCGATATGTGTGTCCTCTTTTTCACTTTGGTATTTTTTGTTTTGATAGCTATTTAGCATTTCATCCTGTTAATATCATTATTTGGCACTGATATTACCCATTTTTTGTTGTTAAAAATATCCTTCAGTGTATGTGGGGAGCCACCAGAGTGCGATATTGTAGAAGAACTTGAGCCCTTTTAGTGATCCTCGTGTACCCTCATTACAGGGAATGGGAGTATATATATTTGCCAGGGTTTTAAAGACTAGTTCCAGTTGCTGCAGTTCCTCTCATTGTTCTTGGACACTAACTAAAATACTAGTGGGGTTTTTTTTGTTTGTTTTTTTGTTTTGGATCTGTTAATCTTGAGCTTTTGTTTCTTCAGTGCTTCCTTAATCTCATTCAAAACCTGCCTCTGACCAAGTCTGTAAATAGGAGACCAGAGTCGGGAACTTCTGGCCTTTCCCATGGAAACTCAGGCCGATCATGCATCTCAGGAACCTCAGGCCCTGCTTGAGAGTGGTAAGGATTGGGGGATTCATTCACTCATTTATTCATTCATTTAACAGTCATCTATTGAGATCTTAGGTCCTAGGCAAATCGCTAGAATCCAAACATGAGTAAGACATAGTTCTTGCCATTCAATAACTCACAGCCGAGTGTGAGTTAACATACAGCTTGATAGATTTTATAGCTGAGGCATTTTAAGCACTGTGGGTTCCTTGTGCATGATTAAGAAAACTGGGACACTCACCAAATTCCATTTTCCAGAGGCATTTTAACAGCCAACTTTATAGTCCTGGTTTTTGCTCTTTAGGACCATGTGCTTAGAGGATGCTCTTGGGAATCATTTTGTAGGTCACAGGCAAAAGAATAAAATGGATAGGAAGCTATGAAAGTATTTGTATTTTGCTTTCTTAGACTGCTTTCGTAACTAGAGTCAGTTTCATTTCTAGTGCTTATTATTAGTTTACTTGCAAGGAAAAGCATTTAAGAACCTTTTTTGTCTGGATGATTCTGCAGAATCTAGTATCTAGGGATTTGAAGTCTCTATGGAATAAATATGTTAACCTAAAAATTACAAAAAAAGAGAGGTGATCAGGAAAAAATGTTGGCAATACAGCTAACAGATAAGGACTTGTATTCAGACTACATAAAGAACTCCTACAAGTCAAGAAGACAACCCATTTTTTAAAATGGAAACATTTAAATAAACACATCACAAAAAAGATATACAAATGGTCAGTAAGCACATGAAAAGATATTTGATGTCATTGTTCATCAGGGAAATGCAATCCAAAACCATGGTGAAATACCACTAAACATATATTAGATTGGCTAAAGTTTAAAAGATATACCAAATGTTGGCGGGGATGCAGAGGAACTAGAACTCTCATACAGTGCTAGTGGAAATGTAAAATTGAACAAATACTTTGGAAAACAGTTCATCATTTTTAAAAATGTTAAATTCATATATACCTACCATATGATCCAGCCATCCAGTCCCAGCCATTGAATCATAAGAAACAAATAAACTGAAAAAAGAAAGAAAGAAAAAAGCGAGGAAGGAAGGAGTGATCAAGTTCAGAAAGAGGAGACATTTATGTTTTGAGATTTGTACATTTGATGTGGGGATGGAGGACAGCTATGAGTGTTACATCTTTAGTCAGGGATCGGGTGAAGCTCCTAGTTTTCCTCTGGTCTAAGAGAACTTCATAAAGTAGTTTGAGTTCAGAGATGTGGAGAATGAGGGAAGGGATATGAGCAGGACAGCCTTTGTTTTTTGGCCAAGCATAAGAGAATGTACACGGACACACTCATCACTAACAAGAAGATTGGGCAAATTTCTTTGAGAATAGAGTGACTGGAGGGAAAGGAGGGGACCAGGGACAGAGCAAAGAGCAAGAATCAACAGGGTTTTAGACATCTCTCTGTAGGATGGGCCCACAATGAATATGCCTGTTATGAATACCTTTAGTAGCTGCAGAGGAAGTGAACTTAAAAATGTCAGAGGGAGTAGGTCCTAGGTTGTCCCAGGACCCTATGAGATTTCTGTAAGTTAGGAGGCTACACAGCAGCAGACTCACTCATAGATCCTTTTATTGTCCCCAGCTCTTCCTTCTTCAAAAGTTCCTGCATTTTCCAACAAGGACAGTCTGGGGGATGAGATGTTGGCAGCTGCACTCCTAAAGGCCAAGTCCCAAGTAAGCTCTGGTTCCCCTTATCCTCTTTTTCTTTCCTGTTTTGTGGACATTTTTGGTTCAGCAACATCTCAGTTCAGTTCTCCAACCACAGTTCCCTCCATCAGGACTGTGGTCTTTTCCTACCAAGTAATGGACCCTACTTTCTTTCTTGGACTCTCACCTCTCTCCACTCTGTATCTCCATTCCTCAGCTTCCCAAGTGTGCATTATTTAACCCCATCCCAAATTATTTTTTTGGTGCTGCTAGTCCTCACCCTGAAATTGCATGCAGGAACGTATTGTTTCAGGAGTTGGTGACATTTGAGGATGTAGCTGTGTACTTTATCCGGAAGGAGTGGAAGCGTTTGGAGCCTGCTCAGAGAGATCTTTATAGAGATGTGATGCTGGAGAATTATGGGAATGTGTTCTCGCTGGGTAAGGAGCTATGCTTTCTCAATAAAACTCTCTTGGCATTTCTTTGCTTCCTTGTTTTCTAGTAACAATTGAGTCAGTGAAAATAACTACGGATTTACTTAATCTCAGAAAATTCTAACAATAATAATAGTAACTCCCACTTGTACATAATTTGCAGTTTATAAAGAGGTTTCATATATATTCTCTCATTTAATCCTCACTGTAACACAGCAATTGAGGGAGCTAGAATTATCCTCATTTTATAGGTGAGGAAAGAGAGGCCAGATCTTAAATGCCTTACACATGGTCCTACAGCTGGTGAGTGGCAGAACTCGACCCCTGGTCTTTGAAGTCCAAATATGCTACTTTTTTTTCCATGTTGTTCTTAGGGTTTAACATATAATCCAGAGACTTTTCCAAAAGATTAGCATATTGGGATCCCAGAACATGTAGGGTAGTGCTCTGTGCCCGATTGAACATTCTGGAAATCTATCTCCTCCCTTTCTCTGTTGGGCTACCTCTAGGGACTTGTTGCTTTGTTCATGACCTTGTGCAAATTCTACTCTTGTAGAAATTTTAACTTGTTATAGGGAATAATTCCCTTCTTAACCTGGACTGTTAATTCCTCATCTCTCACCTATTTACAGTGAGAACATTTTCCTCCGCAGTGCCAGAGGGTCTTCCTAACACCCATTTGAGACCTCCCTGATGTTTCCTTTCGGACCCGCACAGGTCCTGGGTCTGGGATTGAGCTCTGTGACTGCTTGATATGAGCAGAATAAACCTAGTCCTGTGTCTTTCCCCATGAGCAGGATTCCCATTTCTGTGTTTTGACATGATCTCTGGGTGGAGGAAGAACCGAGGGTTCTGAATTTGAGGAGAATTGAGAAGAGAGAGGGTCTGAGAGGTACCTGTTCAAGTGAGGGAAAAATGACTATTTCTGTCTCTAATACTCATTGCCCTATATTTACTTTTTAAAATATTGACAGACTAAAAAATGCTAACATCTAGACCCTTTATATTTGTTCTCTGTGCTTGCAGTTCCCTTTAAAAATCCCAGGACAGTGAAAATAGAGAAGTCAAATATGGAAATTGTTTACATATCCTCACATCATAACATAGCCTTCAAGGCCTAGGGCTCAGAGATGGACTAACTGTCTTTTGCCTATTTCCATGCGTTTGGCATATGTGGCACAGCTAAAAACATGAGTGTTCTTTTCACCTGGGACTATAGGAGGTCACTGGTAACCTCAACCTTGGTGCTCCTTCCTGCTCTGCTACTGTTTCTCATCACCTTCCCTACTTTTCTTAAACAGTTCTGGTAGTCAACATCTTCCATATTATATCTACAGTCTTTAATCTCTCTGAGGACTTTGTCACTTCATTAAACATGTTCTTCTTCTTTTATTCTTGGTTCCCTGCCCCTGCCTGGTCCACCCTCTCCTTCCAGTCTAACTTCCTCCATACTTCCAGCTGTTTTCTCAGTTTTGCTTCCTGCCTTTCTCCTTCCCTGTTTCCTCTTCTCTTATTCTGCCTTAGCTACACACAGTGTGGGCAGGTAAGAGGCATGCACGTAATTATGCTGTCCTCTGGTTTTGATTCTTTCTTCCACAAGGAACAAGTGATATTTGTATTTTGTATTATGCCAGATGGTGAGACCAGAACTGAGCATGATCAAGAAATTTCTGAAGATACAAGATCCCATGGGGTGCTATTGGGAAGATTCCAAAAGGATATTTCTCAGGGTCTTAAGTTTGAAGAAGCCTATGAAAAAGAAGTCAGTCTAAAGAGGCAGCTGGGGAACTCCTCTGGAGAAAGACTGAATAAGAAGATACAAGATTTTGGTCAAGTGACAGTTGAGGAAAAGCTAACCCCCATAGGAGAGAGAAGTGAGAAATACAGTGATTTGGGGAACAGCTTCACTGTGAGTTCCAGCCTTATTTCACATCAGAGACTTCCTGTGGGAGACAGACCCCATAAGTGTGATGAGTGTAGCAAGAGCTTTAATCGAACTTCAGACCTTATTCAGCATCAGAGAATCCACACTGGGGAAAAGCCCTATGAATGTAGTGAATGTGGGAAGGCCTTCAGCCAGAGCTCACATCTGATTCAGCATCAAAGAATCCACACTGGAGAGAAACCTTATGAATGTAATGATTGTGGGAAGACCTTCAGTTGTAGCTCTGCTCTCATTCTACATCGAAGGATCCATACTGGAGAGAAACCTTATGAATGTAATGAGTGTGGGAAAACCTTTAGCTGGAGCTCCACCCTTACTCATCATCAGAGAATCCACACTGGCGAGAAACCGTATGCTTGTAATGAATGTGGGAAGGCCTTCAGTAGGAGCTCCACCCTCATTCATCACCAGAGAATCCACACTGGAGAGAAGCCCTATGAATGTAATGAGTGTGGGAAGGCTTTCAGCCAGAGCTCACACCTCTATCAGCACCAGAGAATCCACACTGGAGAGAAGCCCTATGAATGTATGGAATGTGGAGGGAAGTTTACCTATAGTTCAGGCCTTATTCAGCATCAAAGAATCCACACAGGGGAGAATCCCTATGAATGTAGTGAGTGTGGGAAAGCATTTAGGTATAGCTCAGCTCTTGTTCGCCATCAGAGAATTCACACTGGAGAGAAGCCTTTGAATGTAATGGGAATGAGCAAGAGTTCTCTCAGAGTTACTGAATTAAACATCAGAGAGTCTACATGAAAGAGAGCCACACACCTGTTTTTCTTACTTCCTCTGAGTTTAAGAGCTCCAGCCTTAATATAAAAGTATGAACAATTTAGGATGTGTCCCTTTTGATGCAAACCTTTCACTTTAGAGAATGGGGTTAATTGGGCAAATCATCCTGGCACAGTGATTAGCAACCTAGTCAGTTTCCCAGGGAATGATACCAGCCTTGAAAAATGAGGCAAGCAGCAGATTAAATGCTGGGAATAGAGGGAAGCTCTGGGACCAATCACCTTCCACTATGGAAGGGAGTTTGCACTAGACAATATTTCTCACACCAAGGGAGCCTTTCTTACCAAGGTGGGGATGAAAGCACAGCAGGAAAATCATAAGGATTCCTCCAGTTGGGAGTCAGTACAGTCAGCACAGAAAGAAGTGGCAAGAATGTTCTGGGTCCTGTTACTTGCTAAGAAAGGGAAAAGGAAGCTAGCTGTATTTGGAAGCCACTGTTCCTAATCCAGCTTTAAGTTTTGATAAGAAAATTTGGTGCTGAGGAGTTTATTTGACTAGGGGTAAGGGGGCAGGGGCAAGAGAGGTTTTCCATGGTGACTATTTATGGCTCTTGGAGCAGCAAAACCAAGTTTCTGAGAGCTGTCTGGCATCTTTGCGGGAGAACCCCTTGTCATTCCCTCTTCTGATAGGACTAATTGGGAAATCCATCTAATCAGTGAGTCTAACAGGAAGTGGATCAAAAGCATTTAGCCTCACCTCTGCTTCCTCTTCCTCTCACCATTCCTGTGATAAAAAGTGATTTAATCCAAGCCCCTAGTGACAAAGGATGCTTTTAAGGAGCTCACTCAAGCAGCTTGCCCTGCCCTCTTGTCACCTATGACCCGTGACACCTGACCCCAGCAGCCAGACTTCTGACCCCACCTCTGACTTCAACAGCAGAGTATGAATGCAGACACAGCAAAGCCTAGAGAAGGAAGGCTCTGACCAGAGAGCCTCGCGGTAGGGCTCCCTGCTGGGTTAGGATGGAGATCCTGAGTTTTCCCAGCTTGAAGGGATGACCTTTGATTATGTTTTCCCAATCCTCATCCTGTAGCATAAATGAAGTGCACTATTAAACAGAATAGATTTTCAGAAGAGAGATTGAGTGTGTTTTTTGCAGGAGCAAAATTTAGTTTAAACAGGAAACATTAGTGATTGTAAATGGAATCATTAAAAATCTTAAATTTTTTTTTTTTTTACAACCAACCATTTCTCTCGGTCACAAACATGTTACCTCTTTCCTTCAAGACTCCCATCATATTCCTCTAGATACTGCCCCAGACTATTCAATCACTCCGCCTTTATACCCAAATGTAGAGTGTTTTGTGCTGCATATCATTCAGTGTGGCATGATAGTTAAAACCAACAACTAAAATAGATGTTACTGGGTATGGGGTCCCTGACCAGAGTGTACTTGGATATTGACTGGCAATGGGCATATTTAGGTTTCTTAGTTTGACTGTTGGTGAGAGGATATTACAGTCACGGAGAAGGCAGAGATTAAAGTCTGATGGAGAAGGTGAGGAAACTCTAGCCTCTGAAGAAATTTGGATCGCATATTGTGGTCACCTAATGTATTTTTAATTTCTTCAAGCTATAATGAAACATCACTTGGGCTCTTTGAAATACACCACATACTTGCAGATTGTTTCTCAGAGTGTAGACCATGAACTGTCCATATTAGAGTCACTAGGCTGCTTGTTAATAATGCAGATTTCTAAGCCCCAAATCAGACATTTCTGAGGATAGAGCTTAAACTACACTGAAAAGGAAAAAAAACAAAAACCCAAAATAATGGAATCATTAGGGAAAATTCTTAGGAGAAGGTAAACTTGAGCTACGTCTTAGTTTGTGGTAAGAAGAGGTTCCGTTTAGGACAGTTTGGGGTGGTCCTGAACATGGACATTTAATGTGAAGCTTTAGGAAAGACCACTGAACAGAGAGGGCCAACCCCTTCTTTGCTCAGATGCTGACCACCACACACACACTCCTGCCCCTTAAAACTTCATGACTGTCAGTCCTTCATAGCTTCTTGGTGTGACCTGAGACTGACTGGGGCTATTATGAGAAAAAAGGTTTGTAAAAAATCTTTGAAACTTATTTTATTCACCTGATTCTCCTAATTATTCATATCCCCATTCATGATTCCTAACTCCGTAACTGAGCATTTCTTGATGTGCATAGTACCCGTTCGTGTCTCTGCCATTTTCCTTGGAATCTGTTTACTTCCAAGGCCTCGACCATTACTTCTATGCAAATAAGTTTTAAATCTGCATTTGTGGCACTGATCTCTCCCAAGTTCTAGTCTTGTCTCCAGTCCGCAGGGCATGTACATTTGGACCTTTAAAGTTTCAAATGGTTTTGGCTGGTGTGGCTTGGTTGGAGTGTCGTCCCATAAACTAAAAGGTTGCAAGTTCAATTCTTGGTCAGGGCACATGCCTGGATTACAGACTTGGTCCCCTGTCAAGGCTTGTACGAGAGGCAATCAATTGATGTTTCTCTCCCTTCCCCTCTAAAAAATCAACATGTTCTCTGGTGAGGATTAAAAAAGGAGTTTCAAATTACACGTTTCAAACCAGGTATGTCTTTCCAATAAACTTCCCCCTCTCAAAATTTCTGTAAACCTCTCAGAGTCTCAGCTTCTGAATTTTTGATTATTTCTATCCTGCATCTAACCAGCATCAAGTCCTGGGCAGATTTAGTAAGCATGGAGTGGAAAGAAGAGATTATTTTTAGAGAGGAAGGCTTCAGAGTTGAGATTAGGGAGGAGGTAGAATTTCCAAGTGATGGTAATAAGAGTAGCATGAATTCTGCCTCGCCCCTTTCCAAGGGTTTTTCATATAGCAAATCATTTAATCCTCACTACAACCTGTGGTAAGGAAGGTGTTAGTATAACCTCATTTTGCAGATGAAACAATTGAACTTCCCTAGTGAGATAGGACAATGAGATCAGGATTTCTCTATTTGGTGAGAAGCTGAGCCAGGGGCTAGATAGCTTGGATGTGAAATGGAAGGTACCTGTAAAGGGAACATCATCTAGGCAATGATCTTGTCAACGATGATTCTACAATCTCCTTCATAGTTTATACTTTTCATTTCCATTGCTGTTAACCCTAGAGTTTAAGTCTTTAATATTTCTCCCCTGGATTATATAGTCTCCTAATACAGCAATTTTCAACGGTTTTCGTGTAATGGCACAAATAAACTAATTACTAAAATTCTGCAGCACACTGGAAAATATGTTTTTTGCTGATCTGACAAAAAAGGTATAACTTTGATTTGTTCACACTGGATAGCTATTGTACTGTTGTCATTTTAAAAAAGATTTTATTTATTTATTTTTAGAGAGAGGGAGAAAAACATCGATGTGACCTGGCCTGCAACCCAAGTATGTGCCCTAACTGAACCAGTGACCCTGTGGTTCACAGGCCGGCACGGAATCCACTGAGCCTTTATTTATTTGTTTGTTTGTTTGTTTTTAGAGCGGGAAACATCAATTTGATGTTCCACTTATTTATGCATTCAATAATTGATTCTTGTATGTGCCCTGACCAGGGATCAAACCCATAATCTTGACATATCAGGACAACAGTCTAAGCAACTGAACTATTTGGCCAGGGCCTGGATTGATATCTTTACTTTCTTTCATTGTAAGTCATTCTTTCCCCCAAAGAACTATACCCATCTTGTCACTTCTTTATCAAAAAGTTTCAGTGGCTTCTTTATTTTATGGAATAAAATTCAAACTCCTTAGCTGTATGTAGTCAAGGCTCCCCTTGAGCTGGCTTTCACATGTCTGTATTGCCTTAACTCTTAGTGCACCTCTTCTCACATCTAAAAACCAGATGTGAAAAAACAGATGTGAAAAACCAGAGCTGGCAATCATTGGAGCAATAAGAACAGATTTTATTCAGAAAAAAAAAAAAAAAGGCAGCAGGGGAAAAGAGACATCAGTAAGTACTGGGCCCAATCCCAAATACAGCATGGCCAAGTGGGAATTGATAGCCAAGGAGCAGGGTGGGCGTCAGTGAATGAAAATTTTCTCAGAGGAAACATTCAGGGGTAAGAGGGGTTTTGGCTAAACTGGCCTGACAAGATTTTTGCTGAGGACAGGCAAGGGTGATTAGACGTTGCTATGGAGTGATGGTAGAGGTCAGGGACCTCTTGCTAAAGTGATTTAGCAGGGTTCTTGCTAAAACTAGGTTTTACAAGGCAGTGCACAGATGGACCTAGGAGAAGGTTCAGAAGCCTGAGAAGATTTGGTCAAGAAAAGAATCTCGGTCACATCACCTAGAAGATGATAACCAGGCCCAATTCAGTGCCCTAAATTCATGCCTATGATTTTGTTTACCCACAGTGGACCCATTATCTTGCTCTAGCTCCTCACATCCAATCAATAAAAAGCAGAGTCCAAGAAGACCTGAGAAAACATTTTCAACCTCCCTGTCAGTGCAGAAACTTTCAAGGTACCCCTGACAGACAACTATGCTCTATTGTAACATGTTCAGGGAAAAGAGGCTCGTTGTTGCACCATACAAAAGCAGGCAAGAACACTGCTGAGCATTCTGATGGCTGGAAATTAAGTTGAGCTGAATTTTGCCTCCTTGTGAACTGTTAGCTTTTGGTTTTGCCTTATCTGTGAAATGAGAGGGATGGGGCAAAATTTCCAAGGACGTTGTCAGTCATAACAGCAAAAATAATTTCAGTCGTGACCATTGGTTGGGTGCTCTCCGGTGAAGCAAAAGGTTGCCAGTTCTATTCCACTGAGGACACGTGCGTAGGTTGTGGGTACAGCCCCCAGTTGGGGCACGTGTGAGAGGCAACCCAACATGTTTTTCTCTCACCTCAATGTTTCTCTTCTTCTTTCTCCCTCCCTACCCCTCTCTCTAGAAATAAATAAATACTTTTTTAAAAAGGCAATTTCATTCCTAACTACGCCCCACTGACCCCAAGTTATACCTTTTCTTTGAGATCCAACTCAACTCTGAAAAATGATACTGCGTGATAAATTTCTAAGTAAGGGAAAAGCCTGGTTTTATCTGAACATTTCAGCTGACAGAAGCGTGAATTACAGAGTGGTGGTGGAGAAAAACATTTTAACAAATTGTTTCTTTTTACTTAAAAGACTGGTTTTGAAAACTGCTGGAAGATACTTTCTTTTTCTCTTAGGTTGTCTATAAAGTTAAAACTCTTTCTACTTTAAAAATTAAAAGAAAGTTCAGTCATGTACATTATTTAAATGTCAGTAATGAAGAACCAAAGATTTTGAAATGAATAAAAAATTGTATGGACTATTTTCTATGTACAAAGAGAAATAGGGTCAGAGAGTGGTTTCTCCAGGAATGATAAAGGATTCTTATCTTTCTCCCCAGGCGTATATTTCCTTGTGTGTTCTCTACTTTGGTTGCTGACATCATCAACTTCCCAGTCAGCCAAGCCAGAAACCTGGGAATTGTTCTGAATGCGTTTTTTCTCCACCTCCTCACCTGTACAGCTTGTTTGTCAATGTCCTAGCCCATCCTGTCTTGCCTGTTCCTGTGACCAAGCGGGGCCCTAGGTCATCCTTAACTCCTTCCAGAATTTTGGCACCATCCTTTTTGCTCCCAAAGTTTTCCCCAATCCATTCTTTTAAAAAAATTTTCACTCGAGGACATGCTTATTGATTTTAGAAAGAGGAGAAGGAAGTGGGGGGGAGAAAATTCGATGTGAGAGAGAAACATTAACCGGTTGCCTCTCGTACATGCCTTGACTGGGCCTGAACCCGTAACCTAGGCACGTGACCAGGAATTTAACACACCACCTTTCAAATTTATGGGATGATGCTCCAACCAAATGAACCACACCTGCTAGGGCTCCAATCCATTCTTCATATTTATGCATGAGTTATCTCTCTAAAATGTAATTGGATTTTAGCACCTCAGAACCTTTCAGCAGTCCCTTCTCAACCTCTAGGTCAAATTCTTTGTCATGACGCAGGGCTTTTCGCTTCCTAGCCCTACTACATTTGCATCCTACCTCCTAGTACCCTTCTCATCCCAATCCCCATCCTCCTCCCCTCCCACACGTTTCACACTGGAGTGATGCAGAACTGCAGTGAGAGGGGCACAAGGACTGTTTAATGTCTCTGTGCCTTTACACCTGCTCTTTCTTCTTCCTGAAGGCCCTCCCCTCTTTGTTCACCTAACAAACTCCTATTTATCTTTGGAAACTTCATTATAAGCTTCACCTTTAATGTGGAGCCTTTCCAGGGCATTGTGTTTGCCACCTTCCCCCTGCCCCCCAACTGAGTTCACCATTTCCTCTAAGCTGCCTCTGTATCTTGTACATACTTTCATTATTGCACTTATTCCATGACCCTCCGCCCCCTAAGTCTGTTAACATTTATACATCTGACTCCCGCACTATGGTTTTCTCATAGAATCCTTGATCCATAATTCAATTGAAATTCTAATAGAAAATTTACCAATAGTTATGACATGCAAGGGCAACTGCTAGTATGAATCTTTT